CAATATTCAATTTTGATGAAATAAATGGGGATATTTTCTATTTTGTTTCGTAGGTTTCAGCACTCTTGGTTCCGCCTTATGAAATGGAAAAAATTCGAACTAGTAAATAATGAAGGAAGAGGGAGGAGGGTGGAGGGGGGAGGGGGGAGGGTTTAGGAGGACGGGTGGGAACTGATGGGGAAGGATGGAGGGAGAAAGGCTTTGGAGGATTTTCACGTGCCTTAGACAAGGACATGAAGATTTATGCAGCCCCTGACTGACATAGCGCGAGTCAGGTAGAGATGCTTCGTCGAAACCCAACGAGGATCTCGATCAACAATGAAGACCTGAATCAGTTCAACACTGTCCATGTCGACGCTCCTCCTGCAAGACTCTCTGGCTCTGAGGACATGCCCATGTCTACTGCTCAGCGGATCGGCTTGAAGAAGGACGGCGGGCACTAGAAACATGGGAAGCTCCTCTCTTACATGCCTGTTTCTCGGGTCCTGTTTGTGCTGGTCTCTGTGCGTTGTGAGTGCAAATGGCGTGTGGACGTCAGACTTTAGTGCTAGGCTAGACGTGTTGGACGAAAGCTTGAAGAGAAAAGAAGCAAACTTGCTCGAAACCAAACGGAACCTGACCTTGATGCTCGAGATCGACAAACGCGCCAACCAGCGGTACGTGAGGCGAGCAGCCATCGACGTCGGGTCAGCAGCCTGCAAGCTTCAAGTGGCGGAGGTCGACATGATGTCCGAAGACTACCCGATCATAGTCAAGGTGATGCATGAGGAGAAGGTGAATCTGCTGCTGGGTGAAGACCTAGAGAGGTCAGCCACCGACAAGTTTAGCGACAAGATCTTGCAAGAACTCAAGCACGTGCTCGTTGACTTCAAGAACGTGGCGAGCCAGCAAGGGGCTGAGGAGATCGCAGGGGTAGCCACCGCAGCCTTCCGCAGGGCCAAGAACGGGTACAGCTTCCTCGCAGAGGTGAGGACCTCAGTCCCCTGACCGGTCAGCCTTGAGGTGAGCGAGTCTGCCGCAGGTGTCGAAGGAGCTGGAGATGAAGCTCAAGGTCGTGGATGCGGTGGGTCCTGCTGCTTTTGTGGCTACCTTTCCAATCGGTCACGCGTCAACGGCAGGAGACAGAGTGTTCGCTAGGCTTCTTGACTGGTACCAATTTGCGGAGGGACGTCAAACCCTGGGATCTCATCGTGTGGGATTCTGGAGGAGGATCGTTCCAGGCAAGAAAGTTTCGTCCCCCTCCTCCTCCTCCTCCTCCTCCGTCTCGCCCCTCCCCCCTGCCTCCTTTCCTCCCTTCTTTCACTGCCTGCCTGCCTGCCTGCACACCATTCCCCTCCCTTTCGCAATTTTCTTCAGTCTCCTTTGTTCGAGGAAACCCCTTCTCCTCACCCTTCATTCAGTCTTGCTTTCGCTCACCTCCGCTTCTATCCTTCTCCTCTTGTTGCTAGCCCTCCATCTTACTGGATCTTGTGCAGATTTCCAGCCAGTTCGGGGATAAGTTTGAGATGTGGCACTGTCCTGTTGGCTCTGCCCTCGCCACCTCGACGCTCATCACTCAGGTTGAGGAGGAGGAAGAGGATACCGATCCTGAGGGTGGCAACAGATACAAGGGTGCGATTTCAAGACGAAGTTTTCGGCTAATCCCGTCTCTGTCGCCGATGCTCAGGTTGGATGTTTGCTGCTCTCCCTCTCCCTCTCCCTCTCCCCCTCCCCCTCCCCCCCTCCTTCCCTCCTTCCTCTTCCCCCCCCCTCCCCTTTCCTCTTGTTCTTCCTTATCTTTTCTGCCTTATCTTCTTGATTCGCCTTCATGGTCTCCTGCTCTGATCGCACGCGAGCTGACATCTCTTGGTTCAGTCCCTTACCAAGTCGCTCCTGGGAATGATTGGCTCCCCTCCTTTATGGCTGCAACTTAAGTTGAGGTCAGTCATCCATCGCCTCGTCTTGTCTCTCTGCTTCCTCTGCCCTCCTCCTCCATCCTCTCCCTCTATCCTCTTCCTCTTCCTATTTTTACATCCGCTTTTCGCTTGCCCGCTCCTCGTTTCCATTCTTGTACTTTCCTACCTTGTTCCCTGCTTGTCTTCTTCTTCCTATTGCTCCTCCCCCCTCTCCCCCGCTCTGTTCCTCACAACGATGGGCAGGGAGCCAGGAATCACAGTCATAGGCATCGGAGGAGACACCAGCATCTTTAACCTCGCAAGGGAGGTCACCGGCAAGACCGTCAGTCTCCTGCCCTCCTCGTTCTCTCAACGTGACCCCTCGCCAGACGTTCTGCAGGACGGACGTGCTGGACAGTCTTGAGCTCCTGTGCGGCAAGACTGGTGAGGGGGAGATGCGCTGCATGTTAAGGCAGAAAGGGGAGGGAGGGAGGGAGAAGGGAGGGAGGGAGGGAGGGAGGGAGGGAGGGAGGGAAAA